AAGAGAAAAATTGTCTCGCAAGACACAATGAACCAACTTTCTCAGCAGCAGACAAAGCAGTTGATTCAATGCAATAGATCCACTTCATGCCAATAGAGAACGTTAGTCCGAGAATATATATATATATATATATATATATATATATACATGCAGGGTGTCCATAAATTTTGTGTACACTTTAAAAAATTATAACTTTATTTGTATTTGCGATAGAAATAATTTGTAAAAATATTAGAAAGAAGTAAATCTATATTTTTTAAGGTTTTATTGAAATTTTATTTAAGTTTCCACATGTCCTCCATCATTAGCAATACAAAGGGTAATGCGATTTTGCAGTTCACGGAAAACATTTGCCAACTGATTTACAGTAATGCCTGAAATAACATTAGTTATTTTAGCTATGCTTAAAACCAGGTGCATTAAACTTTATAACATTTTTTCAGATTATTTCTATCACAAATACAAATGAAGTCATATTTTTTTTAAAGCGCAGAGGAACTTTATATCTATATATTTCGCATAGAAAACGTTAAAATTTCCCACCCACTTAGCATAGGGGTAGAATCACTGACTGATACTAAATCGGTCAGGTTTCAAGCCACACTGAAGAGCTGTGATACAACGAAACAGCAAAACAGTCTGTGGATGACAATATATATGCTCCCAGGAAATCCGGTTCAGCTCTCTTGAGAAAAGGGTAATTTAAAAAAAAAAAAAAAAAAAAACTGGCTCAACCGGGCCGATGACATATTTCACATAGAAAACGTCAAAACTTCCCTTCCTCTCTGCTCTGCGACGATAGCTTAGAGGTAGAATCTCTGACTGATACCAAATCGGATCGGGTTTCGATCCCGGCTTGAAGCAATCGGTCGTCTAATCCCACTGAAGAGCTGCGATACAGCGAAACAGTCTTTATATATCCAACAATGTTCACCTAGTACAAGTGGTAGAGAGTTACATTAGCAGGTAATTTGTACAGATAGGAGAAATTTTTAAGCCTAGACTCGAACAGTGATCTAGGTAGTCGCTGGAAGAAACTGTCCAAGAGGAGCTTACTTCTTACCCATGGAATGCGGATGGAATGTGGGCGGTTTTCTACAATGCAAGTGGCATAGGGAATCCTTTCCATGAAGTTTAGGATATGGCGGGACCAAAGAATGTAGTTGTCTGTTAAATAGCGTTAGAGAAGCGTCAGGCTTGCAATATCCCTCCTGTGAGAGAGAGTTTGAAGTGTGGAAAAGAATTCATCACTTACAAGGACTTGGAGACGCTTTTGGTCTCTGTCTAGACTGGGAGGTGTGTTCTCTGCAACTCTTGGCCAAAATATGATAACAGCACTCCATCCTAATTTGTAAAGGTAGAAGACAGCACGTGGAGTCAGGTACTTATTAGAGCGACACAGGGAGTCGACCATTTTACCTACATCTTTAGCGATGGTTTTTATGTAAGAGTTCCACTTGGGCTCAGGTGCGAGTTTAAGGCTCAATAGTCTCTCAAGTGACTCTTGGAGGGGACATTCATTCATCTGAATTGGCGGTAGTTCGGGTTCCGATCGACGATGGTTGAACGTAATTATTTGGGATTTTGAGTCATTGAATGTAACCAAGAAGTTTGGTATCAGTTACCAATCTCTGATCCTCAAGTCTTTTAGAGGCGCACCTGTATATATTGAGCATAATATATATATATATATATATATATATATATATATATATATATATATATATATATATATATATATATATATATATATATATATATATATATATATATATGTTGAAACTTGACTAATGCATGGAATAATAATGCAACACAAAATGTACTTAGAACAAAATGTATTGAAACAAGAAAGTGTACACAATATTTCCATATAGTCTCTTGTATATTCCTGGTAAGACCGTTCCTGGAGAATGTGTTGACTGAGTCGCAGTCGGGCAGAGTCTCTGGTTGAATCTTGATTCCTCCTCTCTTCCCGGTACCAACCATATTTATATGGTCGGTACTCCACTATGCAAATTAGGTGGATCCTACCACAACAACCCCCCTCCCAAGCCTTGGAATCCTTTTTGATTTCAAACTGGCTTCCTATATGGGTTGATGATTATGGCTATTTCTTTTGTAGATCTATTTGCATACTTCATATGCATATGTCCATCCGCTTAATTTTAATATTTTTTCCGTTTTGGATTCACGTCCAATGGGTCCGTGAACTTTCGTTTCCTACCGGATCTTCTCGGTTCAGGAGTATTCTGCGGAGGTTCTACTTGAAACATATCATACATTACCTCAATGGGATTTTCCTCCTCATCCGGTATACTCTCTTCATGCTCTATAACGTAACATTTTTTAAGTTGATTCTGGTACCTTTTATGAGTATTCTTCGGCCCGTTAATTATGTAAATCAGGTCACCGATTCTCTTGTCCACTATGCCTCGCTCCTAGAACTCAACGTTGTTTTTGTAGCACTTGAAAAATACCTTTTCTCCGGAGGTGTATCTTTTTCTCGCTGTATACATAGTATTCTTTACTCTATTTTTTCCTGGCAAAATCTTGTCAAACACTGACTTAACTTTCCTAGCGAACATTAGTTCAGCTGGTGCCATGTTTGAGTGTGTTCTCTGGTTTTGGCGTGATTCTGTATACTTGTAGGAATTGCTGAAGCGCCTTTTCCGTTGGAACTCCTGAGGCTTTCTTCAGAACTCGCTTTAAAGTATCGACAAATCTTTCTGCGAGTCCATTAGACCTCGGATGATACGGAGGCGTCGTTATGTGGTTAATTTAATATAACTCACAAAATTCCTTAAATTCTTCAGAAGTGAATTGTGTACCATTGTCACTCACAATACACTCTGGCACACCGAACCGTGCAAATAGTTCATTTTGTAAAACTATCTACCACTATTAAGTAGTAATAATCTTCTACTGGACCAGCGAAATCAATGTGTAATCTTGTCCACGGATGATCCGTCTCTTGATCGGCCCATCCGTCCAGAGGAAAGGTCCGGGAAGAGAAACTCCCTTCCACGCACCCAACCGCAAGCCCACAGACTTATCGCGGTTGATCTTGACCCCTGTCACCATCTCATACCTACTGATCTGCTTGCTGACTTCGTCAATCTCGGCTCTGCTCGACACAAGAACCGAAACGTCGTCAGCATAGGCAGAATACCTGGCCGAGGTGGAAGCACCAGGCAGCGAAATCCCGCGTAGGACCGGATTCGCCTTTAACCTGCGAAGGAAAGGTTCCAACGCAAGAACGTAAAGCAGAGGCGAGAGCGCACAACCTTGACGAATGGAGCGAGACAATACGAAAGGCTTCGATCTTACCCCATTCACTTCCACCAGCGCACCGGGGGTCGCATACAAAAGTCGGATCCAGGAGCGAAAATCGGCTCCGAAACCGGCCGCCCAAAGGACAGCCTCCAGAAATCGATGGTCAACCCTATCGAAGGCCTTGGACTGATCTAAATTGATCAGCGCGGCTTCACTGTCGACTTGTTCTAAGATCAAGCGTACCATATGAAGGTTATCCTGAATAGTCCTACCCTTCACAGCACAAATCTGTTCAGGGCCAATCAGACTAGACAGGACAAGCTGCAAACGGTTGGCTAAGATCTTCGCCAAAATCTTTAAGTCAGTATTTAACATCGTTAAAGGGCGAAAGTTCCCTAAACCATCCCCACCGTCCTTGTCCTTACGCAGCAACTTGATCACACCCCTGGTGAAGCGTTGTAGTTGAAAAATCAGTTCCAGCAAAAGGAACAAAAACGTGCGACAACCTCAAGTAAACTTCGTAGGGAAGACCATCTAATCCTGGAGACTTATCCAGGCCAACCTGCTTCAGAGCTTCCCAGATTTCCGACTCTGTTATGGGACCTCGCACCTAGCTACTCTAGCTGCCGAGAGGCAGGGAAAGTCAGCTAAATAGGCATCGAAATGAGCAGAGCTCAGACTGGGCTCCCCTGGTGAAAAGATCCTGAAAGTAATCCTGAAACACCTCACATATGCCCGTGTTTGTAGTCATTTCTTTATTGCTATAATAAAAAATAGATAGATAGATAGATAGATAGATAGATAGATAGAGTCCTCTTTTTAATATATACCTGTTGCTTTATATATCGAAAACCATATTCGAAGTTTGAGAGTGTCAGAAACCGACTGATATATATATATATATATATATATATATATATATATATGTGTGTGTGTGTGTGTATATATATATATATATATATATATATATATAGATAGATAGATAGATAGATACTCTTTTAATATATACCTGTTGCTTTATATATCGATAACCATATTTGAATTTTGAGATAGCTAGCTAGATAGATAGATAGAGACAGACAGTCAGTCATATATTCTAACATTAAGTACTTAATTGAAAATCTTTTCATTGTATACTCAACTGAAAAAGGAGATAATCTCGTCAGTTCTTTGATATCTCCCTCTTTGCTAATCACATATATTTCTGATTAGCTGAATCTCCTCTCAACTTACAAAACCCAAATTAATTTTGAAAGCAATCAATTGACTTAATACATATAGGCATTGAATTTCATCGTGTTTTTCGCGCTCTAAATATTCATGCATCTTGATTGATGTTTATATACAACTGACGATTAACTCACACCACTCCTGTGTAACTACCAACAGTTTGGTGTTCAAGCTTTATGAACGTATGGAATATCGAACGCTGATTTTCAAAGCTAACTTTTTCTAGATAAATACACGCCTTGTGCTGTTCTAAATTAAACTTTTTTTTTGTATCGAGACAGTCGGATGTTTCCTTTCACTCAATTTAAATCTCGAAATTTAAATCAAATTTATTGCGCATCAGGAAACTTTGATACAAGAGTCCAGTACGTATTGTGTTCCTCCCTAAGAGATACAAAAGTAAGCAATTTAAAAAGGTGCTGAAAACTGAAGTCATTCAAAATATGCTGTTCGTTATTTGGTCAGACGATTTGTTAAATTTAACGAACATTGGCTGATTAAGTCATTTCTTTATTGCTATAATAAAATAGATAGATAGATAGATAGATAGATAGATAGATAGATAGATAGATAGATAGATAATGTACAAAATTAGATAGATAATGAACAGAATATGATAGTGTTGAAACTTGAATAAAGCATGGAATAATAATAATAATACAGCACAAAATGTACTGAAACAAAATGTATTGAACAAAGAAAGTATACACAATATTTACAGAGAGTTTGGTATATTCTTGGGAAGACCGTTCCTGTAGAATGGGTTGACTTAGTCGCAGTCGGGCAGAGTCTCTGGATTGGATCTCTTCTTCCTCCCCCGTCTTCCCGGTACCAACCATATTTATATGGTCGGTACTCCACTATGTAAATTAGGTGGATCGTACCACAACACCCCCCTTCCAAGCCTTGGAATCCCTTTTGGATTTCAAATTGGCTTCCCATATGGGTTGATGATTATGGCTATTTCTTTGTAGATCCATTTGCCTAATTTTAATATTTTTTCCGTTTTGGATTCACGTCCAATGGGTCCGTGAACTTCCGTTTCCTACCGGATCTTCTTGGTTCAGGAGTATTCTGTGGAGGTTCTACCTGAAACATATACATTATATCAATGGGATCTTCGTCCTCATCCGGTATACACTCTTCTTGCTCTATACCGTAATCTTCTTTAAGTTGGTTCTGGTGCCTTTTATGAGTATTCTTCGGCCCTTTAATTATGTAAATCAGGTCACCGATTCTCTTGTCCACTATGCCTCGCTCCCAGAACTCAACGTTGTTTTTGTAGCACTTGAAAAAAACCTTTTTTCTCGCTGTATACATGGTATTCTTTACTCTATTTTTTCCTGGCAAAATCTTGTCAAACACTGACTTAACTTTCCTAGCGAACATTAGTTCAGCTGGTGCCATGTTTGAGTGTGTTCTCTGGTTTTGGCGTGATTCTGTATACTTGTAGGAATTGCTGAAGCGCCTTTTCCGTTGGAACTCCTGAGGCTTTCTTCAGAGCGAGCTTTAAAGTATCGACAAATCTTTCTGCGAGTCCATTGGACCTCGGATGATACGGCGGCGTCGTTATGTGGTTAATTTGACATAACTCACAAAATTCCTTAAATTCTTCAGAAGTGAATTGTGTACCATTGTCACTCACAATACACTCTGGCACACCGAACCGTGCAAATAGTTCATGCAAGAAAGTTGTTGTGGTATTGGACGTAGGCTTTTTGCAGCGTAGTACTTCCGGCCATTTTGTAAAATTATCTACCACTATTAAGTAGTAATAATCTTCTACTGGACCAGCGAAATCAATGTGTAATCTTGTCCACGGATGATCCGTCTTAGGCCATGGTTTGTGTACTATAGGTGGTGCCTTAGCTGCTAACGCACACCCTTTACATCGATGAACCACGTTTGCGATATCCACATCCATTCCTTTCCAATACATAAAGCTTCGCATTAAGCTTTTGTTCTATTAACCCCGGGTGACCCATGTGAATGTCCCGTAGTATTCTTTTCTGCAACTTTTTTGGTACTACTACTCTCACCATATAATAAAACTCCTTCACCTATTGAATAAATCTCCTGCACTTTTGGTCATTTGCTACCATTTTGCTTTTTATTTCTAAAATGAAATCATCGCTTTCAGCTTTTTTTTAATTTCCTTTAGTGTAACCGGTAGCTCTCTTTACAATGTTGTTTACCATGCTTTTCACCTCATAATCTGCTCTGATATTTGCAATAATTGATTCTTCGAATTTTCTTCTTGACTCGGTACGAGTCTTGATAAACTATCCGCATGAATTATATTTTGGATGATAGGTGCTTTATGTGAAAATCATAATTGAGAAGAATGGTTCCCCATCTCAACAGACGATTTGCCGTATAAACGGATAACCCTTTCTTTGAACCAAAAATAGTGATCAGTGGTTTATGATCTGTTTCAAGCATAAAATGTCTGCCGTGGATGTATCTGTGAAATTTTGTTATGGCAAAAATGATACTCAACGCCTCTTTTTCGATTTGTGAGTAACTTCTTTCTCCTTGGAGTAAAGTTCTCGAAGCATGTGCAATTGGTTTTCTAGAACCATCTGGCATTATGTGTTGAATACACGCTCCTATCCCGTATGAACTGGCGTCACTTGCCACTACAATATCCAGTTTTGGGTTCTAATGGGTTAAAAAGAGATCGAACGTAAGCATTTTCTTTATTTCATCAAAGGCTTTCTGACATTCTACCGTCCATTCCCATGCCTTGTCTTTTTTTAACAGTTCATTCAACGGAGCTCTTAGATTGTACATTCCTTTAATGAACGCTTGATAATAATTTGCGAGCCCCAGAAAACTCTGTAGCATCGCCAAATTAGTGGGCATCGGCATGTCTCTAATCGCAATGGACCTTTCCGGATCTGGAAATCTGCCCTTTTTGTTGATTATGTGACCTAAATACTTAATTTCCTCCAAACCAAATTCGCACTTTGACTCTTTGACTTTAAAACCAAAGTCCTGAATCTTTTTAAATACTTGATTGAGATGCTCTCGATGTTCGTCGACGGTTTCGCTCCTTACTATAATGTCGTCTAAGTAGGCGCACGCAAAGTCTAAAATCATTCAACATGACGTCCATAGCTTGTTGAAAAATGGCTGGTGCCACTTTAATACCAAAAGGAAGCCTGTTGTACTTGAATAACCCTCTATGCGTGTTTATCCCTAGTAACTTCTGAACATTCCTCTTCGACGGAAGTTGGAGATAGGCATCTGATAAGTCGATTTTTGAAAATATAACTCCACCATTTAGCTTGTTAAAATCCTCCGGACTCGGTAACGGGTAATGGTAGTCCTAATTACTGAGTTCAACCCTGTCGAAAATCAACGCAGACTCTGACTTGGTTTGATTTTTTTTTATGCACACAATCGGCGCAGCCCATGAATTAGATTCTACTTTCGAAATAATTCCCATTTTTTCCAACCTATCAAGTTCTTCGTTAATTTCTCTACACTTGCGAAAGGCACGTTACGTTTCTTTTTTAAAAATTGGCATAGTATTTTCCTTTAATTCGAATTTGGCTTCAAACTTGTTACATCTTCCAAGACCAGGTATGAAAGTTTCCGGAAACTTTTTTAATTCCTCATTAATGTCCTGTCTTGTTTGCGTTTTACTTTCTACTTTTCTGCAGAATGAGTTTAACGGTTTATCCCACAATTGAATGTTTCAATAAAATCTGTACCATCAAGTTTTCTCAATATTTCAGAATGAAAACTTTTATTTTTTAACTATCCTGTTCAATTTCATGGAAGTACAACCTCGCCTTCGAAGTTAATTTCCTTTCCAGTTACCGTTCGAGCGCATTTCGTTGACTTCATTATTGTAGGCCTTTTTTAAAATTTTCCATGTTTTATAGTTCATTATTGTTAAATCTGAACCCGAATCGAGTTGAAATTTGATATTCTTTTTAAATATTTCAGTCGTCACATATTTCCTCAAATCTCTATCTTTTATATTTGAATTTGTTTGTCTAATTCGGCTATTGACTTTTTTCGTTTTACAACACGATCCTTTGTGTCCATTCTTGTGGCACACGAAACATTTCCTATTTCTATATGGGCAATTTACCTCCCAGTATCTTTCGTTGCAACGTCTACAATTATATGGTGAAACCTTTTTTTCCTCCTCGTTCTTTTCATTTAATTTTTCTTGTCTATTTTTAAAATACGCCGAATTTTTACTCCAATTTTTTGCTGATGGGTAATTTGACTGTTTTTTTATTTTTTTAATATAAGCAATGCCACCTTCTTCGATTTTTGGAGACTCTTTCTTTAAACTTAAGGCCCGCTGACACTCCTCTGCTAACTTTTGTAGGGTAAGGTTTTGTTCAGATTCGAGTTTAGCCAAAATTATACGTCTTATTTCGGCACTGTTACTGGATACCAGTCCTTGAGCAAAAATTATACACTTGAATTCTTCAACCGTAATCTCTGCCAATCTGAAATTGTCACAATGTCTATTCACTATAGATGCATATGTTAAGTAATCCTGATCGTCGGATTTAGCGACATTCATGCATAACCATCGCTTATTATACCAAAGCGACATATTTGCTCCAAACAACTCCTTTAGCAATTTCACTGTTTCCGAGAATTCCAATTCATTCGTTCTTCTCGGTAGAATAAAATCTACAAATTTGCTATGTTCTGCTGTACCTAGCTTTCTTAGTAATAGACTGACTTTTCTTGAATTCGACCAGTTTTCACAGTCTGTAGAAAATATCTTCATATCGTTTAAAGTACGCTTAAAACGTTTTTTCTTCGTCTGGCCCATAGTTGAAAGTTTCCAGCGAATTAAATATGATGTTATTAGAATATGAAGAATTTCCTTCATTTGCCTGATTGTTGTTTAATTTCTCCAGTGTTAACTTTTGAATTCTTAAAACCTTGATCTGCATTTCTTTTCTGTTTTCCAGTCTTTTCCTCTTGCTTTTCTTGATATTTTTGCTGTCTTTTCCTCTTGCTTTTTCTTGATATTTTTGCTGTGCTATCTGTTGTTCCCTTTATTAATAAGGCAAACTGTTCACTTTGACGTTGCTGACTCAACTGCTGGGATTTTGAATAATTCAGATATGACTTTGGATAATTCATCCATCTTTTTGCTAATAGTGTTCATGCAACAAAGAATATACTTTTTAATTTGTGTATCCACGGATATAATATAATCTGACCAGAAAATCGAAACAACTTACGACTTTTTTTTATTTTATGTCTTGCTTTATAAAATATTGTTGAGCAACCAAAAAATTTTTTTTTAAAGTTCGTTACCTTTCAAAGTCGACACGGTGTATTTGTGCGCCTTTTAAATCCATGCATGTTTTTTGTAGTCGGTCAGTTTTTTTTTTTTTTTAAATCACCGTTATTCGTTTACGACTCCCTTTCAAATTTTATGAGTGAACGTTCCTTTATGCTTAGTCGTCCTTTTTAACGAGTTCTAAATATCCAGAAATTCAGAATCCTTCGCCGTTCCATTAGATGTTGGACTTTTAATTAATAATTTTTTCCTTCAGCCTGGGTTCTTCAATGACTTGTCCCAATTGTTTAAGGCTATCAATTATCAATTCTTTTTTTTTTCGTATAGTTCTTTCTACC